GGACACTTGGGCACCTTTGGACATGTAAGCATTTCCCCCCAGTCTGATATATATATAAATATATTTGTTAGCCCCTGATTTTTCTCCCTCAAGACTCCATTAACAGAAAATCCAAAAAGCAGTTTCTTATATGCTGGCATCTGCCATGTCTCACTTCTTCATTTTAGATATAGACTGGGAGCAGGGGTTGTAAGTAAAATAAGCATGGTTTACTTGGAGTGGAAACACATGAAACTGTTCACTACAGACTAATAAATAAGTACAAGTAAGCGGGTGCTTGTGTTGCTTACTGGCCACCCCCATCCCTGTCAGCAATTGCACATTTGAAGAGGGCTTGATTCTGTAGGAAGGTGCTCTGGGCTTGGAAGAGACAGATGCCAGCCATATGTAGAAGCAGAGTCTTTGGTGGAGTGGAAAAAATGGAAATTGTTCTCCACAGATTGGTGAGTAAGCCCAAGTAAGATGTGCTTGCCTTGTCTATTCGTAATCCACCCTGACTGGAAGGTTAAAGCAAGACACCAGTGATGGCTTTGGGTCACTCTCCTTCACCACTAATCGCCCAACTCTTAGTTGCTTAGGCTTTTCCTGCGAAGGGTGGACAGCACTGTTTCTTTGGGCAACTAGAGGAAATTTAGAAACCTGTCCCTCTGTGTACATTTGCCTGGACCGCATGGGAATTTCTCCCAAATAAATCCAGTCAAGAAATGAAGCTAGCCAACCCTCACACTATCAGGGGCTTCAGCAATTCTTCCACTCTTGAAGTCCCTGCGCCTGGCTTTCCGCAGAGTAACCCTGTAGTGAAGAAGCCTCTCCCAGGTCTAGGTGGTTGCAGGCCAATTTCCTTGGTTCCTGTGAACTTGCTTACAGGAAGCTTGGGACCCCTGACAGTCATCCCAGAGACCTGCCTAGGTAGCCCTAGGGCTCTCTCTCTCTGTGGACCTTTGCTTTTTACATTGGACTTTCTTGTTTCAGAAGTGGTTTCCAGCTTATACAAGCTAAACATTTCGACTCTCAAATACAAGGCTCTCCCATAGTTTTTTTTTCACCCCCCGGAGGTTCTCAAGCAAAATTGCCAGTGCCACAATGTTATGATGGAAGGATGCTGAAATGACAGGCCTAGTAGACGCTTGTCTTAATCATCGGCTTCTTAATTTAGTTTTAGTGCAGGGGTGTGTGTGTGTGTGTGTGTGTGTGCGCGCGCGCGCATGCACCACTCCTATATGCGTGTGTCTGTGTATACACTCACCTACAATTGTGCGCGCCCCCGGGAGGCTGAGGGTGTGCATGCTCACTCTGAAAGCAGTTGCTGACAACCTGCAGCTCCCTAATGAGTGACAAGGCTGGGCTGCTGCAGAAAAGTAACACTTCCCTGGTGTGAAGACCTCTTACTGGGAAGTTTAGTTCACTACTGTTCTCGCAAACCTAATCGTATAACCTGTAACCAAAACCCACAGAACAAGGATACAACACGCTAAAGAGTAACTTCTAATCACTAAATGTTAGCACCAGTACCTGCTGCTAAGAAGGGATTACAAATGAGATGGCTAGAGCGAGGGCAGACCTTGCTCTTCACAGGATTTCTTGAGAAAATGCCTGCATCTCTTGGCCAGAGTTCCTCTCACTCTCCAAAGCCTGGGGTCAGGGACTCCCCATACATCTCCAGGAAGAGAGCTTTAGCCGGTTTGGTGCTGGGCCCTGCTCCAAGGACATGCTGTCCCAGGAACTGATGGCAAGAGTGAATTTTAGGTAAATATGGCCTGTCCTCCTTTAACTCACAGGTGACAAGGACAAAGATGTGAAGTACACACCAGAAGCCAGGGCTAGCCTCTCAGGAAGACTTAACATAACACTGCCAACTGGCAAAAAACGAAATGTGTGGCTTCAGCCTTGGATGCTGTGGAGCCTGCATTGTTAATTAATACTGGAGATAAATCATCTCATTTATTTCACAATTTTTCCATTTCAACTGCTCACTCTTTATAAAATAGTCTGTCCTTTCATTGGGGAGGCGGGTGAAGGAAAGGAGAGAATCTCAGAGAATAATTTGCTGCTATATCAGAGAATTGTCTTTACTCTGACTTTTGCTTTGATTCGTTAAAAGTACCCATTTGTAGATGTGTGAAAATGATCAAGGTTGAATTGCTCATGAACAACGCCAAAATTTTTTTAAAAGAATGAAAAAGAATTTGTTTCAGGTCTGAATGCCCTCCATCTTCTGGAAGTACTCAGAGACTGTGCTTAAGCTCAGCTGGAGTAAGGGCTTCCTGTGTTTAGGAAAGAGGCCCAAGTTGGATATGGGCAGGCCTTCAAATCCAATTTGTACCCAAATTGGCTGGTAGGATGTACAAAGCCCTGTCCAGGGACTTTCAACTTGCACAATACTCTGTCCAAGAACTCCCTCCCCTCCCCCATTTTAGCTAGTTGCAGTTCTCAAAAGAGGCCACTGCTTATACAAATGTGGGCCCATGAGTGAACAGTGCATCTTTTGGTGAGCAAATATATATATATACACATATACATATTTACCAAAAGATATTATATATACACATATACATATACATATTTACCAAAAGATATTGTATATATATTCATGCTATCTCCATATAAAATGCAATTAAATTTGAGAAATTCAAACATTCTCCACTGAAAGTTGTAAATTACTTTTCTGGTTTTAATATGGTGATATTAATGTATATATTTCTTATTGCTACATAAATGTCCTACTTGATAGACTTTCATTATTGCAATCCTTAAACTATTACATTGTCTTCTTAATTTGCATGCAAAACGTTTTCCCAGTTAATATAAGCTCCTGGTGCATAAAATCAGATTATTACAGCTCTCATTAACAGATTCTGGTTTTTGCTATCTGAAAGTAAACAGAAAAAAAACCCTTATTTTCACCTGCTAAAATTTTATGCAGGATTACAAAACAATGCACACTCAGCTTTGACCCTAGAAACACCTTAAAACATTAAAAATTCATCAGTCAGTGAGGGTGTTGTATTCAAGGAACGCTCCTCCAGTTTGCTGCTGAGCCTGGATTTGAATAAAATGCCCCATGTTAACAAACAATACCCACGTTTGGCACTTTGTGTATTAAATTGATCAAACAGATTTTAGGAGGCACAATGCACAATTTGTACAGACCTGATTGAGTTAATATAATATCAGCAAATTTTACATCGAAATGATTCTGTTTCTTTTCTTTGTGTTTAAAACCAGCACAGATTACAAATTTTAATGATCTGAAAATGTTTGGTATACAAAATCATGCTTATTTCAGTATTAGCAAAAACACAAGAAATTTTTCAACACAAACACCCAGCTGTGTCTATTTTAAAAGCAGTTCAATGACAGCTTGCACTTATGAGCATGCAATCAGCTAATTTCGCTTTTTTTTTCCTTCTGTGTTAATCAACACTTTCCTTCCTGCATATCAGAGTACAAATAGTATAGTTACTCCACATCAGTAAATGTTTACGTAACCTGTCCTTTCCCAAGAATCCGGTTACACCGAATCATTTCACGCTAGACCGACTACGAAAACGCACCGGGCTGTCCACCTCAGAGGGAGCCCTGAGTGCCATTATAAGTGATGGTGAGAAGGGGGGATCTGGGGGGTGAGGCGGGGAGGAGTAGGTGGAGGAACGAGGGAGAGGGAGAGGAATGGAGGGAGGGAGGGTGGGTGGCTCAGGGAGGGTGGGGGGAAGGAGGGAGAAAAAGGGGAAGAGGAGGGAGGGAGGGAAGGGTTGAGGAAAGTAGGAGAAGCAAGCCGAGGAGGGGAGAAGAGTGGGAGGAGAACTCTACAGGAAGAGGAAGGCCCCAACATCTCCCCTGCCCTTTGGCTCTCGGGGCTGGGTTCGAATTTCCCAACTTGGGATCAATGTTTGTGGCCTTGTCGTGATCACCCTTGAATGTTAGAACCCTGGAATACTTCCATATGTAAAATATAGCTGTTTTACGTTGAAAAAAATATGCTGATATTTGGAAATTATGTACAGACAGTGGAAGATTATTTGAATTTAGCCCAATATTCAAAGGTCTTTTATGACATTCCTAACACATAGATATTTAAAAATCACTGGCCATTTTGTAAATGTCTATTATTCCTTCTAGAGTTGATTGACATTCTTTCTTCTCTCTCACTCTCAGAGTATGATGGTGTGGGGGTGGGCAGAGTAGAATAACCCCTCCAGTTAACCTCACCTGCATCCCCAGTTCATTTCATTGTAAACATCACGCATAGCCACCATTCTAGTTTTCTTAAATGCCGTATCTGCCAGATAATTTAACTGCGAAATTACCTGACAGAGTAGGGGAAACGGTGTTCGCTTAAGCTTCTGCTCCACCTGCCCCTCCTCTTGGGCTAGACCCTGGGTAAAATGTGGCGTGTTCCCTGTTCACGGAGATGAAACAGTCTTTGATCAGTGTGCTCCTCAACAGATTCCAATCCCTGGGAAATGCTGGGCCTTAGCCCTGCCCCTGGCCACGGGATCCCTTTAAAGCCCCCGAATCGCAATCTCCGCAGTCACTACAGCATTCGCATTCGACCAAACCTTGCCAGCCCCACTGCCCAGGAAGCTGGGACTGTGGGACGTGCCCTCTGTTTCCGCGGCTTGGAGGGGCCCTCCATCCACACTGGGGCGAGAGGCTGGTTTCAGGAGGAGGTTAATTTCAGGACTGTTGAGGCCCCGCGCAAAATCGACGCATTCGAGAAACGGGAAGGCAAAAATAAAACGAAAAGGAGGGAGTGGAAAACAGGAAGGCTTTGAAACAAAACAAAAAGGAAAGAAACAGACGCCCACCCCTATATCCCTTCCTATGTCAACAAGCAAAAAGAAAACGTATCCCCAGTGATCAGCTCGAGGCTGCTCGCTTCCAATTTGGATTAGAAGCAGGGAAGCAGCAGCCGCGCGAGGAAAACGACAGCAAGTCACCCCACGCGTGAGTGGCGACGGTCTGCAGCCGAAGAGGAAGGGAAGACACAGAGATCGAGCATGTGTTACCTGGTTTATTTCGAGAGTGTTTGGTTTTGTTTTCTTTCTGGGCACCCCTCATTGGGGAAGGGCATCCGAGGCTCCCACCACTGAGCCGCCCCCGCCCGCCCAGCGCCGAAGCTGCGACCGCTCGGAGCCCCAGGCCC